ATATATCGAGAAAGTAGCTTTAAAAACCAATAAGACTACGATTTCCGGTACCCGTACCGCGCAGCCAAATATTTCGGTCGATTGCTTTGATGAATTTTAATTTCGATTAATTGCAAAATTGACAAAATATTCATAATGTCGAAATGAATTTTTTATTATTTGACAGTTAAAAATAATTGAGGGCAATTGTCGAAGAAAAATTTTACTTCAATTTTTTTTGAACGAATTTATTAATGACTGATAGTGAAATTTTAATTTACTCCATTTGATACTTCATTTTATTTTTTAATTTTATTTGAATTTCGAATTTTTTTTTGGGCTTTACAATTGTTGGAATTTTAGCAAATTTCGATTTCTTGGTAGTGTAAGAATTATTTATATTTAAACCTTTTTTTGCAAATTTTGTTTGGACCTTCAATTTTATTAAAATTCACATTAGTTTCTAGAATTTAGCAAATTTGTAATTTTTTTCTACTTGAATTAATGTAAATTATGGTTTTCCTAAATAGTAATTTTCCAATTTTCTATTTTTTGAAATTTCGAAATTTTGCGAATTTTAACCGTTTGGAAATTATGGGATTATCAATTTCTCCTTTTTTATTTTGCAAAATTCTCTTTTCTAAATTTTTATTTCTCTGATTTTTTATTTTCTTGCAATTTCAAAAATTTCTATTTTTCAAAAATTTTGGAAATTTCGAATTTTTGTTAATTTTAACCGTTTGGAAATTATGGGATTATCAATTTCTCCTTTTTTATTTTGCAAAATTCTCTTTTCTAAATTTTTATTTCCTTGCAATTTCCAAAATTTCTATTTTTCAAAATTTTTGAAATTTCCAATTTTTGCTAATTTTGTTAATTTTAATTGTTTGGAAATTATGAAATTTTCAATTTCTCCTTTTTTTTATAAAATTTTCTATTATAAAATATTTATATTTCATTTTATATTCTTTTTATATTCAATTTTTTGAAACTTGATTTCATTTTGAGTTGCAATTTTTCTCATGTTTTTTAATTTCTCTGAATTTCGAATTTTTTTTTAAATGCTGTACTTATTGAATTTTTTTATTTTAAAAATTTTCAAATTTAGAAAAATTGAAATTCAAAAAATTTTGATAATGGCAAGGAACTAAAATTTCAAAAATAGAAAATTTTAGAAAATTGAAGATTTAAAAACTAAAATTCAGAAATAAAAGAGTCGGATTTTTTTTTTTAATTTAAAAATGTTGTAATATTAAATCTGGAAAAATGGAAATTTTGATAAATTCAAGTCTAAACCGTAAAAGAATTAAAATTTAGAAAAAAAAATTGCGATTCGTGGACAAATAAAAGTTCAAGTATTCGAAATTTTGAAAATTTTAAATTTTTTGCTAAATTTTCTAAATACTCAACTTTTTGTATTTTTTTTTATTTCAAAAAGTTTAGAATTTCAAAATATTGAAATTCAATCAAATTTTTGATATTAGAAAAACAATTAAAATTTCAAAAATAGAAAATTTACAAAGTTTGAGATTTCGTTTTGTGGCTCTTGGAAAATTTTATTTTCCATTTCAGTTCGTTTGAAATAGTTTTTGATTTTGAAAATATTCAATTCCTTTTCTATCAAGGTTTTAAATTAAAAAATTTAAATCCATTTTTCCAAATATTTGGACCTTCATTTTTTTTACATTATTTCTAGAACTTCTCTTTTGATTTTTCTCAATTTTAAATTGAGAAATTTTTCAAAAACTTGCAAAAAATAAAAAATGTTATTCCTAATATTTTTATTCTTTTTTCCAGAATTTCGTATTTTCTTCTACTTTCATTAAAAGAAAATAGGGAAATTTTATTGAAAATTACTGGAAAAATATTAAATTTCCAAAAAAAAAAAAAAAAATAGAAATCAGTAAAAAAGAAAATAAAAATTTTCATAACGAAAATTATTTTTTCCTAAATTAATGAGGGATGAAAAAAAATGAGGAATTTTCAGGACAAGTTTGATGAAACGCCTTCCTGTTTAATATATATATATATATATATTGGCTTAGCATTCGTTATGACATGGTCGTCTCTTGGTTCTCTGTAATGTTACTTGGTTGGTACTTTTTTCAGTTGGTTTACTCTGTCAATCAAAAAAAGAGAAAGAAAAAAAATAAAAATACTCGCGATAGTGGATGAGTGACTCTCGATAGGGATCATAAACGCGCGCGCATAGGGACGCGTTCGACGAGATCCACAAGAGATCGCAAGCCGAACCACGTGTGAATTCGTGAGAATCTTTTGTGGTCGTCGAGCTCAGGTCGAGCGGATGACCTTATAAGGAGCGAGCAAACATGCATCTCCTCCACTATGTTACACTGTGTACAGGTATCATATATATACAATATATCTTTACGTACGCGCAACTTGGTCTCATTTGAACGATCGCTTCGTCGAATTAAGTTAATTTGTCCATCCACAACTTCTCATTATCCATTATACATATTACATCGCTCTTTTATATCTCCTGAAAACATCACTCGTAAACTCGATAATGATGTGCAAAATAATTATGACAAGAAAATTTAATTATCGTATTATTCTCTACGTTCATAACGACGACCCCCTTCTTCCATTCAGTTGAAAATAAAAAAAACAAGATCTTTGTAAATAGCGTTTTATGGAATTAATACAGCAACAAAAAAATATGATACAATATAACTGATAAACGGAGAGATTAAGAGGAATTTTAATTTATAAAGAGGAAGAGATGTTTGTTTAATTCCAACTTGTTTTTGTTCTTCGTTTTTTTTTTTTTTGGTTAATGTAAGTTTCATTTATGGACTGTCTTGAAATATTTGTTGCAATAATTTTTTTTTTTTTTTGTTAATTCATTTTTCCAATATCTTCAAGAAATTTTTTATTTCACTTTAAAAAAAGCGTTCTCCGATTTTTCCAATTCTAAATTTTTGAATTTTTCCCAATAATTCGATTTTTAACTTTGGCAAATTTGAATTATTTGAATAATTCAAATCTTGTCATTTTAAAATGAGTGATTAAGTTTATCAGTTTCTTTGAATTTCGAATTTTTTGAAATATTGAATTTTCTATTAAAAAAAATTTTGGAATTTAGCAAAAATTCGAAAAAAAATTTTTTTGATAATGGCAAACAAGTAAAATTTCAAAAATATAAAATTTTAGAAAGTTTTAAATTTAAAAAAACTAAAATTCAGATAAATTGAAGTAAGATTTGACGATTTGATTTTCAATTTTCAATTTTTCTTTTCTCCGATTTTTTTCAATTCTAAATGTTTGAATTTTTCACAATAATTCGATTTTCAACTTTGTCAAATTTGAATAATTCAAATTTTGTCATTTTAAAATTAGTGATTAAGTTTTTAAATTTCTTTGAATTTTTTGAAATATTGAATTTTCTATTTAAAAAAATTTTGGAATTTAGCAAAAATTCAAAGAAAAAAATTTTTTTGATAATGTCAAACAAGTAAAATTTCAAAAATTGAAAATTTTAGAAAGTTTGAAATTTAAAAAAAACTAAAATTTAGATAAATTGAAGTAAGATTTGACAATTTGATTTTTAAAATTCAATTTTTCAATTATTTTATTTGGAAAAAATGAAATTATGATAAATTCAAATCTAAGCCGTAGAATAATTAAAATTTCGAAAAAAATCGAGATTCTTAGATAATTAAAATTTGAAAAATTCGAAATTTTGATAAATTCAAGTCTAAGTCGTAGAGAAATCTAAAATTTAGAAAAAAAATTCGTGATTCGTAGATAATATGAAATTTAAAAAATTCAAAATTTCGATAATTTTCTTTAAATATTAAACTTTCTGAATTTTTTATTCCAAAAATTTTGGAACTTAAAAATTCAAAAAAATTTTGATAATAGCAAAGTAACTAAAATTTTAGAAATAGAAAATTTAGAAAGTTGGAGATTTAAAAAACTAAAATTCAGGGGAAAAAAATTGATATTTTTTCAAATTTTGAAATATTAAATCTGAAAAAATGGAAATTTGATAAATTCAAGTCTAAACCATCGAAGAATTAAAATTTCCAAAAATTGAGATTCGATAATTAAAATTTTTATCTAAATTTAAAAAAAATCAAAATCTAGATAAAAAAATAGGAATATGAAAAAAATTTGAAATCAGTAAAATTGATATAAATCTACTAATTTATTTATTTTTATTTCTAAGTGTTGCATGATCATTTATTTTGTTTTTCACGGCAATAAAATTGTTTTGTGCTTGTTTTGCAAACTTTTTATTTATTTATTTTTTTTTGAAGCATGATTGTTGATTTTTAAGTGTCTCCACCTACCTTGTTGCATGCTCATTGCTTCTGGGTGTTTCAAATCATGAGCAAATATATATTGTGTATTTATATTGTCGACGAGATAGTTTTCAAACGAAAAGATGATTTATCATGTTCATATTCAATTACACCTTTATTTGTCACTTACATATTCTCCTCAACACTCTTTTCTCTCTCTGTCTTTCTGTCTCCATTTAAGGTGTAGGGGTATTAAAAGTGATTTACAGTTAGGTGCTTATCCTGTAGCCTGTATACAAGTTCCAAACAAAACGGTTACAAATGCTTTTACGAGCTGATCAACATTTTTACAACTGCATCTCGCGCAATTTAAATTTACAAAAGTAATATACAAGTGTTTTCAAATTGAAAACACGATTTCGATGATTTTTCTCTTTTTAATTCAAATAAAATAAATTTGCAAAAAAAATTGTTTTTTGAATTTTAAAATTAATTTTCGCCTATGAGAATCGTGTTGTAATTTTTATATATTTTTTTTGCGCTATATAATAAGTCATTCTTTTTATTTAATATATATATATATATAGTGTCGTAAATTTCATGATAGTTAATATAAAAGACAGTCTTGTGAAACGTAATGGAGATAATTATAAAAAGAAGGCAGTACATTTTTCAAAGCATTTAGTCATTTTCTTTTCCCAGACCATCTAAAGAAGGCTTTATTTATTTTTTTTTATTTATTTGTTCTAGGAGGACACAGCTTCCCCGAGGTCGGACATCTGTGGCAACGATAGCGAAGGGGATAACGATAGTGACGTGGAATCGCCTGTGTCGAAAGACTCGAAGAACCACACAGGCAAGTTTTCTCATTTATTTTATAATTTCTTAAGATTATTGCAAAACCTTAAATTGTATCTATACAAGTATATTATATTTACAAGTATCATTCTTGATTCTTTTATTTTCATTTTTCACTTTCATTTTTAGAAAGGCATTCTTCGTTTTGTTTACTTTTTTTTCAATTTCGTTTCATCCCTTGTTCATTAATTAATATATTGAGAATATATATTTTTTCTTTATTCGTATTTCTTAATTTTAAAATTCACGTTCATTAATTTTTTCGGAAATTAATGAAAAACAAAAAAATAGCGACAAAAAATTTATTGAAAATCAAAGAATCAGAAATGTAAAATATTTATTTGAAAAGACTAATTTTTTTGTTTTGTTCACAGGAGGAATGGAAATATTTAAAAATTCATTAGTTACAATTTATAATTTTATCGAATGTTGTGGAAAAATTTCTATCGATCCGAATTTTTTTTAGAAGATGAATCAATATTAAACCGAATTTTTTCGCAGTAGAATTTTTCTTACAACAAAGCAGCCAAATATTTCGGTCGATTGCTTTGATGAATTTTAATTTCGATTAATTGCAAAATTGACAAAATATTCATAATGTCGAAATGAATTTTTTATTATTTGACAGTTAAAATAATAGAGGGCGATTGTCGAAGAAAAATTTTACTTCAATTTTTTTTTTTTTTTTTGAACGAATTTATTAATGACTGATAGTGAAATTTTAATTTACTCCATTTGATACTGCATTTTATTTTTTAATTTTATTTGAATTTCGATTTTTTTTGGGGGGGGGGGGGGTTTACAATTGTTGGAATTTTAGGAAATTTCGATTTCTTGGTAGTGTAAGAATTATTTATTTATTTAAATCCTTTTTTGCAAATTTTGTTTGGACCTTCAATTTTATTAAAATTCACATTAGTTTCTAGAATTTAGAAAATTTGTAATTTTTTTGTACTTGAATTAATGTAAATTATGGTTTTTCTAAATAGTAATTTTCCAAGTGTCTATTTTTTGAAATTTCGAAATTTTGCGAATTTTAACCGTTTGTAATTATGGGATTATCAATTTCTCCTTTTTTATTTTGCAAAATTCTCTTTTCTAAATTTTTATTTCTCTGATTTTTTATTTTCTTGCAATTTCCAAAATTTTGGAAATTTCGAATTTTTGCTAATTTTGTTAATTTTAATTGTTTGGAAATTATCGAATTTTCAATTTCCCCTTTTTTTTATAAAATTTTCTATTATAAAATATTTATATTTCATTTTATATTCTTTTTATATTCAATTTTTTGAAACTTGATTTCATTTGAGTTGCAAATTTTTCTCATGTTTTTTAATTTCTCTGAATTTCGAATTTTTTTTAAATGATGTACTTATTGAATTTTTTATTTTAAAAATTTTCAAATTTAGAAAAATTGAATTTTCTTACAACAAAGTTTTAAGTTAATGGAATTTCTAATGAATCAAATTTTTATGTGCCAGAATTTTTTATTTGCCAAAATTTTTATTTAACAGAATTTTTATTTGCTAAAATTTTTATTTTACCGAATTTTTAATTGAAGTAATTTTTATTTAGCAAAATTCTCAGTTAATATTTTTTTTTGACTGAAACTTTAGTTAATTGAAGAATTTTATTTTTATTAAAATTCCAATTAAATAGAAATTGAAATAATAATTCTGTTCAATATAAATTCTACTTAATAAAAATTCAATTAAAAATTAATTCGAAATTCTGTTAAATATTTGAAAATTCGAAAAAAAAAATTTTGATTAAAGAAAAATTTTGGTTTTAATTTTTACATATAATATCTGAATAATTTTTTTTTATATAAAGTCCTATGCAATTATTCTTATTAACGAATTATTGAAATTGAAAATTCAATTCTCAGTTCAATTTTGAAATATTATCTAAATAAATTTTTTTTTTTTTTATAAATTCCTATGCAATTCTTATTAACGAATTATTGAATTTGAAAATTCTGTTTTCAATTCAATTTTTAAATATTATATAAATAAAATTTCTTGATAAATTCCAATACAATTATTGAAATTGAAAATTCAGTCTTCTTTTCAATTTTGAAATATTAGGTATCTCAATAAAAATTCTTGTAAATTTTATTAAAAAATTATTAGATTTAAAATTTATTAAATTTTTTTTTTAAATATCTGATAAAAATAGTTAATAGATTCCGAGAAAAAAAAAGAATTTTTTTTAAACAGAAAACTCCCACATGTTTCTCGTTGATCAACGATCGTTTTTTTTTTTTTAAGAGCGATACTTTTAGCTCAAAATGGAAGTTGAGGGGGGTGATTTGAGTGTCTAATAAAAAATTATTTAATGTGTGGGGTAGGAATATAAATTTGAGAGTTGAATACAGTTCTATTTTTGGTAGATGCGTTTTGTGATTTAAAAAAAGTAAATCTCTCTTTCTCTTTCTCGCGCCTTGTGTTTATAGAGACCGAGTTTATACGAGGGGCCGTTAAAGTCGGCGTGGAAAATCATTAGAGTGTCAGGAGTACTTAGAATGCGAAAAGCGTGCGAGCGATGACGGGGTTGCCCGTGTAGGGGAGTTGGTAAGGAGTCGTACGGTTCGCGATGACCAAACTAAGACGACAACTCGTTGCCTAACTGGGAAGTAGGATCCGGTCGAAAGCCGTGCTCGATGCAGGTGTACACATAAATATCGATGCTAATGTTAACCGAGCGGATCTCATCCGATCCAAGACCTCGAGTATGAAAATTTGTACTTGGAAAAATGTCTAGTCCACCGTTTCCTGTTACAACGTGTATTTCATTTCATTTTATATATTTTGCTCCAATTTTTATAATCATAACAAGTGGGAAAATTTTTATTTACTCGAAAAAAAAATGAAAGAAAGGAAAACAATTATTTTCCATCATTGAAAAATAGTTTTACAAATTTTTTTTATTTTAATAATTGCATTGGAATTTATCAAAAAAAAATTTATTTCGATATTTCTAAATTTAATTGAGGACAGAAAATTTTCAATTTCAATAATTTATTGATAAGAATAATTGCATTGGAATTTTTCAAAAAAAAATTTATTTCGATATTTCTGAATTTAATTGAGGACAGAAAATTTTCAATTTCAATAATTCCTTAATAAGAATAATTGCATAGAAATTTATAAAGAAATTTAGATAATATTTCAAAATTGAATTCAAATGGTTATAAAAAAAATTTTAGTCACTATTAAAAAAAAATTAGATACTTCATGAAAAATGGAGAAAACTTTATCTAAATATTGTTTAATTGAATTTTAAAAGAACTAAAGTCCCGATTTTTACAATTAATCAAATTTCTGATTTTAAATTGAAAATTTTTAAATTTCAAATTGCTGAAAACTTTTTTGAAAAGAATTTTACAGAATTTCTAATAAATCAATTAATTTTTAATTTTATCTCAAATTTTATTTTATAAAATAAGTTGACAAATTCTTTGCCATTTATTAAAATAAAAAAGGTAAAATTGAAAAAAGGCATGAATTTTCATTATTTCGGAATTTATATCATTGAATTTAATTTATATTTTATTTTAACAATAGGAAAAATATTTCAAATATTTTTAAATATTTTAATAGAGAATTTTTATTTAACCAATTTTGTATTTAGACAAATTCATATTTAAATGAATTTTAATAAAAGAAAATTTTTATTTAATCACATTATTTATTATTTAGTAAGAATTTATAATATTGAAAATTCAATATTGATTCCATCTTTTAGAAAATTCGGCTTAATAAAAATTTGCCGAAAAAATTCGCTAAAAATGCTAATGAATTTTTAAATATTTCCATTCATTCTGTGAATAAAACAAAAAATTTAGTCTTTCCAAATAAATATTTTACATTTCTGATTCTTTGACTTTCAATAAAATTTTTTGTCTCTTTTCTTTTGCATGGCTTTTCAATTATTTTTCTTTACAAAATTTTAATTTCTATTTTTCTGGAAAAATTAAAATTGAAAAAATACAAAATTTACGAAATTATCATGGGAAATTAATTTTGCAAATTAAAAATTTAAAGGAAATCAAAATAAAGAAAAAAATTTCACAATTAAGTTTTGGAATATTTATTACAAAATCGTAGAAAAAAAAAACAATGAAAGAAAAAACAAAACAAAGAAGCTATTAAAAATCAAGATCTCGTCAATAAATCGAAAATTAATGACTGCAATCAAATTGAAAGGAAAAAGAAAAAATATATATCTATTTTCGCCTTTTGAAGAGTAATTTGATTTCAAGTGTTTACATTAACAAAGATCGATGTACTTGCATCACTGTCTCTCAATATAAACTAGAAATAAAAATTCCAATATATATATATATATAATAAATTATAATCGAGTGCAATAGACACTTAATCGTCATTCTTCTGAGCTTGTGAAGTGATGAAATAAGTATTATTGTATATATATATATATATATATATATATAATAAACATGATCATGTCTCCTTTCGATATTATCAATCCAATAAAAGCGACAGATCATCCATCGATCTTCTCTCTTTCGAAAACGATCCTTAAAAAATGATAAATCGATTAATTTCTTTTTTTTTCACAGGTTCGGAATTTCTTTTTCGTCTCGGAAAAAAAATCAATATTGATCATTGAACTATTTAACACGTTTACCGTGACCCTGTTCTATACTTTGTTACAAAAAAAAATACAAATATTTTCACGCATCCAAGTCGCCGAACTGCAAAGAAAAAAAAAAAGAAATATATATATATATAGGCTGTTTCGAATATCGTTTGGTTGTCATTACTTGGCAAAATTACAGCAGTTAATCTCCCCAACGATGAATCGATGACCGTAGAGTCGCTGCAATTTCTTGTGCGCAAAGGCTTTTTTTTATGGGCTCGTAAAAATTAATTACGCCTCTCTCGCGCGTTGCAATCTTTTTAATTTGTAAAGAAATAAAATCCAACACACTAAGTATAGACAAATTTGCGAGGATATTTTGAAAAAATAAATTCTCCTAATGGATTAGAGTATATGGAAATATATTATTCAAAAAAGAAAAAAAAATGATTCCTTATTAAATAATCATAGGTATTGATAAGGTATAATCATTGACGGGAGTAATTTCTTTTTAAAAAGAGAGTGTTATTATTTATTACACTAGGTTTGTGAATACTCTGTGTGGGAATTTATCATTATTCCCTCTCTTTCTATAGTTATATGCATCGTGGTCTTGAATTTCTCAGTTCAGGGGCGATTATTATATCGTTTAACGATTTCTCGTTTACATGTTGCCTTTTTTGTTATAGAAATTATTTTCCCTGAAAATTTTCAACCCCCTTTTAATCATTTTAGAGTGGAAAAATCGATTTGAATATTATTTCGTAATTGGAGAGAATAATTTTTTCTAATTCTCAATTTTTTGCAAAATGCTCAACAATTTCAATTTTTTGTAGTCTTTTTTTAAAAAATTCCCATTTGTTTTGGTATTTAATTTTTCTAATTTTTCAATGTTTTTTTTGGAAATTTATTTTACTTTTGGAAATTTTCAACCTCCTTTTAATCATTTTAGAGTGGAAAAATAATTGTCGATTTGAATATTATTTTGTAATCGGTGAGAATAATTTTTTCAAATTCTCAATTTTTGCAAAATGTTCAACAATTTCAATTTTTTGTAGCCTTTTTTTAAAAAATTCCCATTTGTTTTGGTATTTAATTTTTCTAATTTTTTAATGTCTTTTCGGAAATATATTTTGCTTTTGGAAATTTTCAACTCTTTTTATTGTTTTTTGTGCTGCGAAAATAATTTTCAATTCAAATTATTATTTTGAAATGGGAGGGTTATAATTTTTCGAAATTCTCAATTTATTTTTTCTTATATGGTAGAATTTTTAGAGTAAAGAATTTTTATTTAATCGAATTCGTATTTAAGAGAATTAAATATTTATTAAATTTTTACAAAGAAGAATTTTTTTAATTATCCGTGAATTTTTCATTTAACCGAATTTGAAATTAAACAGAATTTTCGATTTTTTTTTTTTTTTTTTTTTAAAGAAAAATTTAAAACAAAAAAATTTTTTTTAATGAAAATAACAAAAAGAATATTGAAATAAGAAAAAAAAATTTGAATTTCTCCAGTTCTTTTAATTTTAGAAGAATTAACATTATATTAGATGTAAAACAAAATTTTTTTATTTCATTTGGCGAAAAAAATTAATTCTTTTTTTTAATTTCAGCAGGAATTTCTTATGGTTGAATTTTTAAAGTAAAGAATTTTTATATAATCGAATTCGTATTTAAGAGAATTAAATATTTATTAAATTTTTACAAAGAAGAATTTTTTTAATTATCCGTGAATTTTTCATTTAATCGAATTTGAAATTAAACAGAATTTTCGATTTTTTTTTTTTGAAGAAAAATTTAAAACAAAAAATTTTTTTTCAATGAAAATAACAAAAAGAATATTGAAATAAGAAAAAAAAAATTTGAATTTCTCCAGTTCTTTTAATTTTAGAAGAATTAACATTATAGTAGATGTAAAACAAAATTTTTGTTTATTTAATTTGGCGGAAAAAAATTAATTCTTTTTTTTTAATTTCAGCAGGAATGCCTTCATTTTCCGCTGGTATAATGTATCAAATGCCACAGAACGTCGTTTATTCGCCGAGTCCTGGAGTTTTACTCAGTATCGGACAAAATGGTCAACCCGTTCAAATCTCACAAGACGGGGGTGAGTATTTAATTCTACTAAATTATTAAAAAAATTTTCTATTTAAAAATAAAAAAGGAAAAATAGAAAATTATTCAATATCAAGAGAAATTAATTTTTTTTTTGTAAATTATACGTATTTGTATATTTATTTTTTTGTGTGGACGAAAAGAAATTTTGCCAAAAAAATGAAAATAATATTAAATTTAAAATATTTAAAAAAAAATCTCTTTGACAATATTAATTGCAATGATTTTTGGAAATTATTTAGTTTTATTATTAAAATTTATAGGAGAGTTGAATGCCCAGTAGGATTTGTTCTCTGATGTAAGAAAATACTCCATCACCTCATCATTTTTCAACCCACTACACTAATTCTAATATTACCACAACTATTTTTGGTTTCAGTCTTTTACTAAAAGAACGTCTCACTCACTTCTATAATAGAAGAAATAACAATTTTAAAATCTGGGAATACTTTTTGTCAAGCAAATTCTTTTTTTTTTGTGTATTTTTAAGACAAAATCTTCTTTTTGAAATTTAGTTTCCGAATTTTATTTTGTTTCAATTTATTTTATTGTTAATTAAAAATTTTTTATATTTATTTTCTAACTAAAAAGGTAAAATTTTAATTTCAGTATCCACTGTGATTAAATTTATTATTTATTTATTTATTTACATTTCAACGGTTCAAAATTATGGAAGGGAAAAATTTATCTTCGAATTTAAAATTTTAATTACCACTATAATGTACATTTAAAAAAGAAAGGGAAAAATCAATATTATTTTGATTTTGCAATTAATATACTGTTGAAGAGACAGCAAATTAGTGTCAGTTGAAAATACCTTTTTCTCTCTCTCTCTCTCTCTTTCTCTTTACGAATTCATTTAATTTATTAACGTCATTTTCTTGCAGGGACATCATCTGTAAATTCTGCACAAGCCAATCATCCATTCATCACGATTCCTCTAAACGTAGCAATGACTGCCGCCGGACTCTCTTTACCGGTGACATCGAAAGCAGCAATGTCTCCACCACATTCTCTCACGTGTACTTCGAATTCAGATTTACCTTCGGACCTCAGCAAGGATCGAAAGTGAAGAGTGATATACTAAGATAAAAAAAATTTTAATGTTATATATACATTATATATATATAATAATTGTGAAATTCACAAAAAAAAAACAAAACAAGGTAAGTGCCAAGCTTCATCTTTAATATCCTCAGGAAGCAAAATATTTCATTCACAAAAATCTGTTGAGTGAAAAAAAAAAGTTAGTCTTTCAAACCAACGAAACCTTTTTTTCATATTGTCTTCCTGAATGTAATGATGAAAGAAATATTTCTTTTTATTTTACTATTATTAGTAAGTTAAGCTTTCTTTCGTTTAAAAATTATTCTTTTAAATGTCGGTGACTTAGATGAAAAAATTAAAAAAAAAAAAAAAAAAAAAGCGGAAGCTTTATTTGTTTAGGGAAATTCAAAAATCAGGAGTTTTTTTAAAAAAAAATTTAATCTCTATAAATCTCTATATTCCCTAGGAAATAATTCGAATTTCTATTCAATGAAATGAAAATTCATTTAGTGACAAAATTAAAATTTCAATTATAAATTAAGAGAATTAAATTATTAATTTAATTAATAAATTTAATTAACAAATTAATGAATCAATTATTAATAAATTATTATAATTAATAATTAAATTAATTAATAAATTATTATAATTAATAATTAAATTAATAATTTGAAAATCAAAATTTAATTCTAAAGAATATTAATGAGGAAATTAATTAATTTTTTCTATCTTTAATTTTGTCAATAATCAAACACTGAAATTTTATTTTTAAAAAATCAGGGACGATAAGTACTTAAGAATTAATTTCTACTAAGTTTATTATTTGCATATTTAAATTATTCTCTGAGTCAATTTAGTTTAATTTTTTTTTTAGGGGACTTCTTTTTTGTTTTAAGAATTATTTTAGGAAACGATTTTTAATAAAAAAAAAAAAACAAATTTGCTTCTTCGTTTTTCGGGTTTGGCCTTTTCTTCAAAAAAATTTTTTTATTCGAATTATAAAAAGTATTATTTTGGATGAGGGCGGGGGGAAAAAAATGTAGAAGAGGCCACATCTCGCTGCAGATCTCATATATAATGCTAAAATACAAAAACAGTTTTCCCCGAATAACTCTCGGAGAGTCAAAATATTTCTATTACTTTGTTACGTGTTTCTTCCTCAATTTTTGGTTAAAAGAATTTTTTTACTCTGTGATTTTAGCGTCGCTTTATTTATCTAATATAAATTCAAATATAGTATATTAAAAAAAAAAACAAAATCGTCACCAGTGAAAAAAAATGTAATAATTATTTTAAATTCAAAATTTTTTTTTAGAAAGAAAATTTCTAAATATTGATAGCGCAGCTAAATACTAATTTACATATATCTTTTTTATTTCAATTTCTTTTATGATTTTGAAAATAAATTCGATTAAAATTAGTCATAGATAGTAAAGATTTTAAATAAATATATATTTTTCCAAAAGGAAACATTATTGTTAAAAATATAAATTTTGTTCGTATGTAAAAAAAAAAGTGTTTTTTTTCCGTTATAGGAAGTGTTAATCATGACAGTTCCTTTTTCCTTTTTGGAAAGCCAGGAACTAGTCTTGCTTTTTCTGTACGTAATCATGAAAAAAAAAAAAAAAAAAAAACTGCCCAAGGGAATAATCCCGTATGGCGAAAGTGCATTGACTTAAAAATAACTCCCGCTGCGCTAATTTCGGATCCAAAGCAAGATAACTTCTCAGCCTCTCCAAAGAGCTTTAAGTAACTAGTTATCCCGGAGAAGTCTCTGCGAGAAATATGCTTTTGCTTTTCTAAACTCTGCTCCAAATTAGAAATGAAAAGGGAAATTCGACGAAGACGCAGCAAAATTTTCTTTTCAAAACAAATGAGAAAAAAGTTGAAAATTTAATTTCTTTTTTTATTTAGTAAAAAAAAAGAAGGGGATTTTTGTTTTACAAAAGGAAAAAATTCAAAAAAAGTGTAAAATTTATTTTAATTTCTTTTTTTATTTAATAAGAAAGGGAATTTTTGTTTCCAGAGAAAAAAGTATATTTTAATTTAGTAATTAATTTTTATTTAGTAAAAAAAAGGAATTTTTAAATGTAGAAATTAAAAAACAAAAAAAATTTTATTTAATAAAAAAAAGGGAATTTTTGCTTCCAAAAAAAATTTTAAATCAAAAATTTTTTTATTTTATAAAAAAAAAGAACAAATTAATAAAATATTATTAGAAAATAATTTTTTATTTTAATAAGAAAGAAATTTTCTATTTTGAAGGAGAGTTTAAAGAAGCGAGGATCAATTGTTTCGGAATAGAATTTTTTTTTTTTTTTTTTTTTTCTTTAGTAAATAAGGTTTCTAGTCGAAAGAACTGTTAATGTGCAATCGCTTAAGCGAAAAAAAAATATATTTTTAGAGGAAAGCGCAAGATAATATTATTATATTTTATATATAAATATATATTATATTTTGCATCTTATGACATAAACTGCGGACTTTCGCAATGAGGGTCACAAGAAAATTATATAGAAATTTTTTTTTTTAGTAAAGAAAGTCCTTAGTCTCCAACTAGATACTTGCCCTATCAAAAAAAAAAAAAAAAAAAAAAACAATTACACATTTTTCATCAGACAAATATGTATATTCATTTTTATAAATAAACAAAATACCGTTACGTTTTTTCTATTATTATCTCACTTGAACAATTTCAATATAAAAAAAAGATTTTCCAGATTTTAGGTTTTAATTAATAATTTTTATATAATGTTAAATGTATATGTTTTATAAATTATTATTATTATTGTAGATTTAAGGTGAATCATCTACGATAGTTTTTATGAAAATTATTAGTCTTCGATAAAAATAAATTAAAAAAAAAAAAAAAAAAAAAACGCCGAATATTGTAAAAAGATTTCAAAAACCGTCGCATTTGCAATAATCTGAAATCTTTAAATAATGATAATTATTATAAAACTTAAATTAACTACGAAAAAGTGTTAATAAATTGTTGCCATATAATTTGCTTTTTTAAAAATACATTTTACGTTTAAAAATGTCGGGTCCAGAATTTTTATAAAATTCCCAACCTCTTCAGAAAGTTTTTTTTTTTTAATTGAAAAATTGAATAAAATATTTAAATCACTCTTTTGTAAAAATAATTAAATTTTTTATTTAAGCGAAAATATTTTTAATTTGCGTTTGTTTTAATTATTTATTAAAATTAAAAAAAAGTTAATTAATTAATATTAATAATTAATTTTTATTTAAATAATTAAATTGATTTCTTTTTATCAATTATTTTTAATAATTACCTTTTGCAAAAAAAATTGGTGAATCAAGAATCTTCAGAAAACTCCTTTCTTTTCATGCTCTCGTGATACTCTGAAATAACTACAAAATCATTGTTTGAGAATAAATATTCCGTCTTAATTAATAAAAAATGAAAATATAAAAAATTACCGACATAGAAATCTACCTTACTAACTTTGTAACATTTTCAATAAATAAAAAATAATAACGTGTTATTGCTGCAAATATTTAGTTATTTTTATTATTTCTTAATTAATTAGTAATTTAAAATACGTAATTTTTTTGAAAAATTTAATTATAAATTTAAAAAAAAAAAATTACCTATCATGAAAGTTTTTGAAAATAAAAAAAAAAATATATATTAACAATAACGGGGTTTGCACTTATTAAGTAATTGGCTACAATTATTATAATGGCCGTAAATATTATTTTATTACGAGCATATAGTCATAAATTATATTACTATGGCTTTTTACGTTCAAAGTTATTAAATAAAAAGCTATTATAATATCGGGTTAGATTCTTCTTTAACACTTTACCATCGTTGTACATTATTATTTTTCATCATCCCTTATTTTCAAATTACATATATTTTCAGAATATCTAATTGAGCAAAAATTCAGAAAGCATTTTTTTTTTTTTTTAATATTTTCTAGGCGAAAAAAAGAAAAGTATCGAAAAAGAGAAAAAATCATCTTTCTGATATAAAATCTAATTTTAATATTGTTGGAAAAAAAATTTAAGACTGACTTTGAAATCAAAAAAAAAAAAATTGAAAATATTCGTGAGGAAAGTAAAAAATTATGTAAAATAAAAATTGAAAAAAATCCAAGTACTTTTTACATGATAAAATGAAAAAAAAGGTGTGTCAACCTATTTTGTAAATAAAAAATGCGAATTGATAATCTTCAATGTAGAAAAAACATATATATATAAAAAGTGTCGCAATATTGCTTAGGGAAAAAAAAATCCAATACACGATTATGTCATCGCAAAACGTAAATTGTACAGTATTTCAACAAAAAAATACGTTATATATATAACTTTTTTATTACTCGCTTTTACGATAAATATTTGCGCAAAAAAAAAAAAAAAAAAAAAAAAAAAAAAAAATGGTTTGTAACATATGTTAATTAAAAAAAAAGGATTTAAAAATATACCAAATGCACGAACCGCAATTTCAAATTTGATTTATTCAAATACTTCCACAATCCTTCTCCTTTGCCAATAATAAAAAAGTTCAGTAACAAAGATCATTTAATTATTATTATTATATTATTATTTAATTCAAAACTCTAAGTTAAATAAAAACAAATTTTTTTTTTTATTACTCGTCACTTTTTTTGTAAAAAAAAAAATTTGAAATTAACAAAAAAAATTTTTATTATTAATTTTTAATTATTTATAATAGAAAATATTAATGAAATTAGTAGTTAAACTAATTTTATAAATAATAAACTGGAAATAAAATAAAATACTAAAAAAAAAATAGTTCCAAATGGATTTTGTCGAAGACAAATAAAAAGATCAATTTTTTTGTTTGATTTAATCAGATAATTATATTTTATTTATTTTCCAGTAAACGAGAAGATCCACTGGGTTTTCTCTAAGGGCACTCTGATTAATGTCTAAAATTGTGCAAACGGTAAGACTTTTCCGACATGTGTATTTCTTTTCTTTATTTTTTTTTTTTTAAATTATTTTTATTTCAATCATGTAATAAAAAATTGATTTGTTTATATTTATACTTATCGCCTTGAATTACATTGCTTATATAAACCGAAAAAATTCGTGTATGTGTGTATGTGTGTAATTAATTAAAAAGACTATGTATATAATATATGCAAAGCATATTACATACATTTACACAAAACTTTTTTTTTTTTTTGGAGCAAAATTTCTAACAATTTTTTTTTTGCTCCATTTTCATTTTATTATAGTTGTTAATATTTTTTTTTTTTTTTTTTTTGGTGTTGGGGCAGGGGAGGGGGGAGTGCAAAGAGCGAATGATTTTTTTTTAGTCGTCGATATAACAATCTTGTACTTAGAATTGTTTTTTCTTTTTTTTTTCTTTTCCTTCTAAATTTTAACTACAAACTCGTAATAGACTTTCCCATGAAGCAAACTCATACTTCGTATAAATTAATATTTTTAATATCGAGAAATCTTTTTTTTTTTTTTTTGTAATTTTCGAAGTATATTTCATTATAGCATTTTTCTTTTTCATTGAAGACCGCGATTCTTTACAATTGGAAACATTTTCTCTCTCTCTCATTTTCTCTTCTTTCACTCTTTTTTTTTTATCTCTTTCAATCTCTAAAGAAAATCAGGGTGATGGGGAGGCGAAAAAAAAACATATTTCGCATTTTTATATCCAATCTTATCTTTACAAAACTTAAATTAATTCAAATACTCTCGAAATAACATTTCATATTTTCTTGACGCGAAATCAAAAAAAAAATTGTATTTAAAAAATGCAAGATTTCAAAAATCTTTCAAAAAAAAAAAAGGGAAAAAAACCAGAAGGAATGAAAATTTCTAATTCGAAAAAAGTGTATTTTAATTTGTAAATAAAAACCTCAAAAAAAAAAATTACTTCACAAATGGCCTGATATGAATAGATTCTGAAATAACTTATATCAATGACTACATTTAGCAAATTTTTGAATAGATTAAAAAAAAATAAAAGAAAATAAAAAATAATTTTCCCATCCAAACGTCAATTTGCTAAATGTCTCGTAAATATACATATACACTCTATGAATAAATGTTCTCAAAAAGAAGGAGGCAAAAAAAAAAACTTAAAAAAAAATTCAGTAAAATTAATAAAAAGATAAAATATGTTTTTTATACACTTGAAATTAAGCTTGTTATAAAGTAAGAATCTTTCCTAAATATATATATATATATATATATATGTATATATAATATGTGGCTAAAAATCAATATGCGGGCACCACCTCTAGTTGATTCCCGATACCTTACAAAAAAAAAAAAAAAATAAAAAAAAAAATTCATTAAAGGTATCTTCAATTGTGGTGCAAATATATATATATAATTAGCAGTTTAGATAACAAACTGTCCCTAAATCTGTAATCGATTTCACCTTAGATCTGCAGATTTTACTTTTTCTCTTTTCGAGAAAAAAAAAAAAATTATAATAAAGGGAAAAAAAATTGCGTAATTCTTAATGAAATTTTTTTTGTTTGGAAAATTTCATTTAAAATTGAAACTGCAGATCGAAGGCTCGACGAAATTGTTGATTTTACAAATATTGCTCGATTTTCCAACGATCCTTTTTTATTTTTCAAAACGATCCTTGTTTCTCGATTATTATTAATTATTAATTTTTTTTTTTTTTTTTTCATTAATATCTCTGTTTCACAGAACACTTATAAACCCCAAGACATATATATTTTGTACATAGTTATCAATAAATCAATGGGAAATGTAAGACCAATCGAATCACGTGTGTACGATTTTCACTTACAACATCAAAAAATAGACTTATTACAAGAGTGCATTTTATAGTACACGATACACCCTGTTGATCGTCTTTTTTTTTTCTATTTCGGTGTTTGTTCTCTTATTCTCCTTCTAAAATCATTTTTTTTTTTTAGCTCTTTTTAGACACATCTTTAAAAAGTCTGAGCCGTAGTCGATATGTACATAACAGTAGTATTTTATTATCATTAAATTCGTATTTTTCTCTCTCTCTCGAAATATTAAATTGTCAAAAGATTTAAATAAAAGAGAAAAAAATTTTTTTTAGCCTAATATTAATATTTATATTAATCTTTATATTAATAATTATATTAATTAATCTTTAATATTTTTTTTACTGATAAAGATTCCATAGCCAAGATTTTGTATTTAAAAAAGATTTTAACAAGCATTATTATTATTATTTCCTGAATCTCGAGATCAAAATTTCCATTAAATTGAAGATCGAATTTCTATTCAGCCGAAGATTAATATTAATAATAATTAAACCGAATTTTCACAAAATAAACATTTTTTTAAAGTAAATAATTTTTTCCATTTTAAAATAGTTTTTCTAATTTACAGAATCAAATAATTTTTTTTTTTGAAAAAAAAAATATAAATTTATGAAAATAAAATTAAATTCCATCAAATGCAAATTTGACTAAATACACTTTAGTGTAAAAATTCAAACGAATTTGGAATTCGAATTTCTCGATTTTAAAATACGAATAGAAATTCTGTTAAATTCGAATTCAATTTAATACAGATTGTAAAATTCGGTAAAATACAAATTTGGTTAAATTCGAATTTTCCGATATTTAAATTCGGTTTAATATAAATTTTACTTTATAAAATTCGGCTAAATTCTATTAAATACTAATTTTTGTTAAATAAATCTCAGTTTTTTGAAAATTTAAATACATACTAATTCGGTTAAATAAACATTTTTCAATAGAAAAATTCGATTAACTTAATTTCTCGGCTTTAAAAATTTTAATAGAAATTTTTTTTAATACGAATTCAATTAAATATTGAATTTAAATTCGGTTAAAATTCAAATTCCTCGATATTTAATTTCGGTTTAATATAAATTTTACTTTATAAATTTCGGCTAAATCTTATTAAATACTAATTCGATTAAATAAACATATGTTTGAAAATTTAGTTATAAATAAACATTTTTCAATATAAAAATTCGGTTAAACTCAAATTTCTCGGCTTTGGAATTCAAAAAGAAGTTATGTTAAATACGAATTCAATTAAATACAGAATTTAAATTCGGTAAAATTTGAATTCAGATAAATTTAAATTCTCCGATATTTAAATTCGGTTTAATATAAATTTCACTTTATAAAATTCGGCTAAATTTCATGAAATACGAATTTTGTTAAATTTATCTCAATTTGAAAATTTAAATACTAATTTGGTTAAATAAACATAGATTTGAAAATTTAGTTAATTAATCATTTTTTTTTTCAATATAAAAATTTGATTCACTATAAATTTAAAATTCGATCAAATAGAATTTCAAACATTTCAATAAAATGGAAATTCACTCATAAAATTTCAAGAATTGTCTCATTTTAATATTTCCCCGCGAGAATTTTTTCCAAATATGACTTAAAAAAAAAAAAAAAATTTCTGCTCTTTTGCAGAATTAATCTGCATTTAAAAATTGTATTTTTTTTTTGTTACTTTTTCGCGATTCTGTTTCTCGTTTTGTTTCTTTTTTTGTTTTTGTTTTTAATTTACATACCACGTGTACATATTTCCTACGATGCAGACGCTGTTGTATGTAAAACGCAAGAGAATAGGTAAAGTATCGTCTTATGCTCGGCCACGTGATTTCTTGCGCGAAGATGCTTCTTCCGTGTTTTGTTGAACACCCGTTGTCGCGGCCAATACTCGTTTAGGGCGGCTCGTGGTACTTTTGCTTTCCTGCACTTTTTGCATGGCACCTCCTACAAAATTTAGGCTCTCTCATTGTTCCACGAATTTTAATTCTTTCTCTCTCTCTCTCTCATTTTTTTTTCCTTTTTTCTTTCATCTAATTCCAATTATTTAATTCGACAACGATTTTTTTTCTTTTTGTAATGCAAGTAAACTTCTTTTTTAAAAAATTTTAATTTAATTTTTGATTTGAAAATTTATTTTGCAATTATTTTTTTTTTTAAATAACAAAAAAAAATCTATAATTTGCTCTTCGGTTCGAGAATATTTTGGAATTTTTAGTTTATATTCTCGAACTCAAACGCATTAAACTTTGCTGTGTTTTAAATTTTAACTTTCCATGACAGAAAATCAGAGTATTTTTTTTTGTTTCAAATTACAATTTTTTCAAAATAAAATTTTTTGAATATTTTCAAAAATAACAAAAATTTTCCAATTCGAAATTGAATATTGAAAATAAATGAATTTACATTTACAATTTATTAAAGGAGTTTGCTACGTTTTCAAAATTTTAAAATCTCCTGACATTTCCAAGTTTTCAAAACTATTTTTCTAAAAATTCACTAATCAAATATAAAAATTGTTATAAGTTTTAGCTTCTAAAAAAAAATTCATTAAAATTATCAACAAAACATTTGTTATTAATTAACAAATTTTTTCTGAAAAATTAATTATTAAAGTTTTATTAATATTATTTTTTAGCAAGCAAAAAAAAAGAAATTTGTAATACTTTTCATTTCAAAAAGAATTGCAATTGAAACAAGAAATTTTGTTTTTTTTGATAAAAAAAATGAAATTTGTCGAATGATTTTTATTCTAATAACTCAAGACTTACCGCGGGCCTTTGTCCGTGGGACACCGCTTGAATTGTTGCTGCTCTGTGGATTAATTGCTTTTTTTGGATCGTCTTTTTTCACATCTGCCTTTTTATTATCCGATTTGCCAGCTGATGTTGAACTTGCTTCTTCGGCGGCAATTTTATTACTTCTATTCATTGCCCTTTCTTTTCTACTGGGTCCCTTTGCCATTGATTTTGCAATGGCCAATGCTTTATTATTTGTACGTTTTTTAGCAGAATTTGTTGCTTTTGGTTCATTTGATTTTTCATTATTATCATCATCAACATCCTCATCCTCATCATCGTCGTTTTCATCTTCATCTGAATCTTCCTCGGAGTCATCATCTTCCGAGTCGCTTGATTCACGTTTTGCTTTCTTACGTTGACGTTTTTGTTTTGAGCCGCCACTTCCGCCACCGCCGCCGCCGCTTTTTCTTTTCTTCAATTGTGACTCGTCTTTGAAAAGCGAGAGATCAACTGAAAATGAAATTTTTCATTTACACTTCCTGGAGAAATAATTTTATTTATTATAAATTTTATTGTTATTCGATTACTAATTAATAACTAATGTTAAAATAAAATTTTTAACTAATAAGCGAAGAAATAAATAAATTTTTTGTAAATAGGAAAAAAATTGCTGCGTCTCTAAAAATTATTTAACATTTAAATATTTTTATAATTAAAAAAAAAAAAAAAAAAAAAAACTACTCACGTCCATCGGGATGTTCCTCGGTAACGCGAGGTTTCTCCGAAACGCCTGCTTCGACGTCAATCGCCCTCTTTAAAATATTCTCAGTTCGTAGCAATTCAAGTTTAGTGAGTTGATATTTATTTTTCTCGACTTTATTGAGATTCAAATTCGTCAATATACAGTCGAAATCTAAAAGATAAAAAGAAAATTAATAATTTTCTTAAACAAAATTTCAATTTTTTAATTATTAATTATTAATTAAATATTATTTTATTAATTAAATTTAAAATTTACTAAATAATAATTTAATTTTAAATTTCAATGTAATTGAATGAAATAAATTTTTAAATAATTGAATTTAAAACAAAAATTGTAAGTAAATAAGTAGAATTTAAAATTTTTTATTAAATTTCAAAACAATTGAATTAATTTCAATAAAGTAACAATTAGATTTTAAATTAAATTAAGAAAATATGTTGTGTAATTGAATTTTGGTTATTCGTTTACCTCATTTAACAACAAAAAAAGTTTCTAGTGAAACAATTGAATAAATTAAATGTTAAAGTAATTAATTCAATTACAAAATTAAAAATAAAATTAGAAAGAATATTTTTTTTTTACATAATTATATGAAAATTACCTGTGTGATCGTAAAAATCGGGAGAATAAATTTCTCCATTATTTTTATCTTGAGAGAGCCAGCGAATACGAATGCGTTTACTGCTCTTGTAAATATTTTGCATTGCCTGACAAACGAAGAAGCTACCTTCCGTGTTTCTAACTGCGAGAAATTCGTTTCTAAAAAGAATGATTCATTAAAAACATAATTCTTTTTTTTTTTCTTTATGAATATTGAATCATACAATATTTTCAAGAAATAAAATTAAAAATTAATTTTCAATTAAAATCAAGTCATTTTTTTTCTTTAAAGAAGATAAAAGACAAAAATAACTTTTTCAAATAATAATAAATAAAAAGTAATATGAATAATGAAAATAATGAATAATTAATTATAAAATATATAAATGAATTGTTCCTTTTTGAGAAAAATTGATTATTTTCGAAAATAAAAAATTTAGTATTTTTAGTTATTATTTTTAAATTTATAGTATATTTTTTGTTCTATTTATAGATTTATAGTATTTTTTTTTGTTTTATTTAAAAAAAATACGAACTTGTAGAAAACGATGAGCTTATCGTCCGGCGCTTTGGTTGAGACTGGTTTATTCAATGTTTTCACAATCATCGCAATCTCGGGCAATGGACTCTGATAGGGTTGTGTTTTAATACGATTTCTCTTCGGTTTTGGACCACCACCACCACCAGCAGCAGCAGTACCACCAGTTGTACCTCCCTTCAAATCCTTATTCTCTTTGGGTTTTCGTTTATTTATTGTAGCCCTCGCCGTACTTGCAACTTTTGTTTCCAATTTTGGTGATGTCGTCACAGTACTACTTTCAATTGGTTTTCCAATTGGCGATGATGGAACTTTTGGTTTTTGCCCCTCATTTTTCACTGGTGATTCCTCTGATTTTTGCATCGTTCCCATCGTTTTACTTGGCGATGATCCTGGAATTGTGCTTGACGTTGCCAATCCCGTTGTTGTTTCCGTTTCTTTCGATCCATTATTAATCGATGATTTTTTCTCCTCCGGTTTACTTTGTGCTGATGCGCCAACAACTGTGAAATTAATTTTTAAACAATTATTAAAAATTTCATTTACAAATATCAAAATTACTAAGTATTTCTTATAATTTAGTATTAAAAAAATAAATTTTATGCCAACCTGGTGTTATTTCTGATTTTCCAATTTCTGGTTCGGATTGTGATTCAATTTGTTTTTTATTATCTTGATTTTGTTGTTCCTGACTAGGTGTTTCAGGGCTCATATTATTATTTCGGCTAGGTTCATTTGTTTTAATTGGACAATTTTGTTCTTGTTCAATTTCTGATGATTTCATTTGATCAACACCATTTGGAATTATTTTATTATTATCGGTATCAATTTCTTTTTCTGCATTATTAATTGTGTTTGTTGAATAAGTTGTTGTTGGTTGTTGTGCTTGATAAACAGGTGGCCTATGATCTTGCACAAGACTCAATGGTTGTTGTGGATGATTTGGTGGTTGTAGTGTAACATAACTTAAACCACTAGTATTTAATGGTTTCATTCCACTATTGGATTCGGTTCCTGGCACGACTTTTTGTGCCATTATATTCATTGGCAACACTGAATGGCCTGCCGACGATGGGGATGCACCTACTCCAGGCATTGATGATTTTATCGCAGGTGCACTCATGCCCCCCCTTTTTTCTTCTTTTTTTTCTCTCTTTAATTTATTTTAAAACCCTCTATTTAGCTGAAATATAAATAAAATTAATTATTCAGAGAATAAAAAAAAATTCCCATTGTGAAAATTGAAAAAAAAATCCTAAATTTCTATTTTGAGAAAAGAATTATTTTTTTTTACATTATTACATTATCGTATATTCTAGAAAATTAGTTTCTTTCAAGGTTTATTTTATCGCAAAAATTCAAATTTTTTAATTCTTGAGAAATAATTAAAATTAATTTTTAAAAAAAATCAAAAATTCAGTATAAAAAAGCAAAAAAATGTAAAGTGCAAATAAAATAAATAAACCAGAAAGATAATGATATCAGTTTCATAATGTAAACCTCACTGGACAAAATGACATTGAAATTTATCAACAACTTTTACAATAATTACTTTTAAATTATATTTCCCTCGCCCCCCCCCCATGGGCTGATTTTTCATTGATAAATTAGTTATTTCAATTCTAAACAGCAAATTTTTATTTCCAAAAAAAAAAAAAAATTAATGGACAATTTGGTTGGGACAAAATATATATATTTTTGACATATTGATACAGCTAAACAAACACATGTGTTCCTTAAATAGAAAAGTTTCCTATTTGACAAGAATCCTCATCAATAGAAGCAAGTTTTTTTATTTACTTTCTGACTTTTAAAATAGTTTAATTCTATAAAAAAAATTAGATTGAACATTTAGTGATTTAGAAAATTATCAAATAACGAAAAAATCGATTTGTAAATATAGAAAAAAAGGAACATTTAAAAAAAATTATTTATAGAAAACAGAATCAATTTTATCAAAAATTCCAATTATAAATAAAAAATTTCCGACCACCAGGAAGTCAGGTTATGAATCATAGACTATATACAAAAAAAAAATGAAGAAAAATCACCCTAAAAAAAACAGATAATTTCGTTTGAGAGCTGAAAATTTTGTTTGTGTAAAATTTTTACTAAACTGTACACTGAAGCGTCCGAGTATAATATCAAGAAGCAAGAGCGAGAGAGAAGGGCCGGGAACAGAGGTGGGGGAGGTAATTAGGGGAGTAAACATAAACATGAATCGACTTTTATATTATTGAAATAGAATATCAGTCTATATGAAATTTAGAGGTTAAAAAAAAGAGAATTATTCACATTTAAAACGTGTGAATATTTACCTAGATAAAGATAGATTTTTGCTTTTTTTTTTTTTTTTTTGATACGATGCACTTTTCTCGCCAATGATCTTGGCTCGGAGGTTGACCGCTGCTTTTCCACGCACACCACGGTTAACTCATCTTCTCAAAAACATTGCTTGCACATTAAAAACACCTATTTTCCTACCACCATTCAACACAATACAATTGATACATTGCGATTTTAATATGAAAATTTTATTTAAATTACTGAAATAACACTAAAAATTGGAACGACAAAATGCCTCGGCGACACAACAGACAGAAACGAAAAATCCAGGAATGCCAGACGTTAGATGGCGTCTTTCTGACGCCATATGTAACGCTACGTCATAAAACGCGCGGGAGGGCGGAGGCGACAAAAATAAAATCTAAATAAACCCGAAAAATTACTATTTCTACACAAAAAAATTGATTAAGTCACAATTTATGTAAATAAAATTACCTTTTTTTTTAAATATAATTCTTTCTTCTTATTCACATATTCTATTAAACGTGTACTTCAAGCCTCATTCTAACCTCTAAATATTATTCCACCAAAATTTGACTCTTTTCCTTTTGTAAAATAAAGTATTTCTTTTTGAATTAAATCCAAATTTTCCTCAATTATCGTTAATCGTTATATTTTCTTGTTAATATAATAATATTTTAGTTTAATAACACTTTTTTTTCTTTGAATCTACATGTAAACTTCAAACGCACACAATTTTACTACTTGAGTCAATGGTGTTGTTGTATTAGCAGTTCATCGCTAAATCAAAATAAAAACTATTCGAAAAATTATTAAAAATTAAATATTTAAATAAATATAATTTTAATTAACAAAAATATTAATATTTCTTTATTGTAAATAATTGATAAAAAATATAGTAAAAAAAATTAGTGTTTTTAATTAATAATTAAAAAATAATCTAAATAAAAAATAATCTAAATAAAAAATAAAAAAATTATTGTTGCAAGGTGAAAAGATCATTCAACTTGTCACCAGGTGGAGGTAGCGTTTATTTCTGTGAAAGTTTTATTAAATCACAGAAACTATTGTATAGTTAAAATGACGCAAATATATGTATAATATAAAGTGTAGGTGTGAATAAAAAAAGAAATATAGGTGTGGTATTACCGGTATATATAGATATAATATACGACAGTGCGCGCGTGTGTGTACCTAACCCCGATGTCATCACAAAAATGGACTAATAAAATATTTAATACAAATCTTCTGCTAATTAAACATATATGATTGTGACACGTAAATTATACCTAGCATTTCCGGAAAAGTAATGCGTTGGCTAAGACGACAACGTTGGCGAAGGATTTATTTTCCTGTTGATAACAACAGGTTGAAAAAATAAAAAAGTAAACAATTAATATTTTGCACTTGAAAAAACAAAAAAAGAAAGTGCATTTTTGTCGCGTATTTTTCTTTTTTCACAATGGTTCTCGGAAGTTTTCGCTATCGTATTTTAATTGGCATTATTTTAATAATTATATTTTGGCAATCATCGAAATTATGGACTTCACGCAGGGATGTGAAAAATATCTCTAATCAGGTAAAATAATTTTTTAATAATTAAAAAAAAAAAAAATATCGATTGTCAAATTTCCTGGTTGAATTTATTTTTTATTTTCTTCAAAAAAAAAAAGTGAAATAAGAAAAATAATTTACAGGCGAATAATGAAAACACATCGGCAGAATTAAATTCAAAAGAACCGGCTGTGGAAAAAATTCTCGTTACTGTTTTTTACGAGGCATTGTGTCCCGATTCACGAAGTTTTTTTGTTAAACAATTGTTTCCTACATTTGAGAGAATTGCCGAAAATATGATAATTAAAGCAATACCATATGGAAAAGCAACGGTAAGATTTTATTTATTTTTTTTTGTATTGAAAATTAATAATTTAATATTTGTCTTTTTTTTTTTTTTTTTTGAATGTAGACAACAAAAACTAATGAGGGTTTTAAATTTGAATGTCAACATGGACCAGTTGAATGTGAGGCAAATATGATTCATGCATGTTCAATAGATGTGATAAAAAATCCAAAACAACAATTAGAATATTTAACGTGTATGATTAAAAAAAATTATGAACCACAAAATATTATGAAAAGTTGCGCTGAAAATATGGGAATAAATTATCAGCCAATACTTGATTGTTTTTTGTCAAAGGGAGAAAAATTATTGGCTGAATATGGAGAATTTACAAAAGCCAATCGAAAATGGATTGATTTTATACCTACCATTTCGCTCGATGAGGTGAGAATTTAAAAAAAAAATAAATAAAATATATAATTAAAACTATCAATAATGTAATTATATTACTAGTAAATTTTTAATATAGTAATAATGTTAAAAATTATTTTTAGAATTTCAATAATCAACCGGCGATTTTGAAAGATTTACATAAACAGGTTTGTCTTCTTTTGAAGAATCCACCAAAGGGTTGTTTTTAATTTAAGACACAAATTAGCAACTAATATACTTCCATTTACTTCGCATTGAAAGTTGAAAAAAAAAATATATTTGTAAATGTTGAAATACTTTTTTTAAAAAAAATTCTAATAGTAATTAATAATAATAAAAGAAAGAAAATTTCTTTCTTTTGTTTAATAATAAGAAAACAAAGAAAAATTTCCTTCTTTGTTTATAATAATAAGAAAATCGAAAATTTAGAAAAAGAAATTATTGAAAATAAAAAGAAATCGATTATAAGAAATCAAAGAAATTGTCATCGATAAAGAAGTTAAATAAAATTTTGAAATTGTATAAAATTTGTGAAAAAAAACTCAGGTTAATTAATATCTAATCTAATTGCATATTAAAAAAAATACTGTTATCTCTATCTTCCTTTTTCCGATAAGTGTTATTCAATATTATATTATCAAATTTATATATATTATATACATAAAAAATATGTGAAATATATATATATCAATTTATTAAAAATGAAAATTTTCTTCTTTTTACCTTCAAGAATCTCGATATTTTATGAATTTTTAAGATTTATTTTAAAAATACAATACCTTAATTTTAAAAAACCGACGAATTTTTCTTTTTTTTTTTTAGTCAAGCAATTGAAGATTGTCTAATTTTTCACTGGAATAAAAACCAGCTTTTACGTTTCTTCCACCAAAAAATCGTCCATTTAAATCAACCACCGCTTTAATTGCACTCTCTATCCTTTTGAATTCAACGAATATTCTTACAGCCTCCTCGGCTGGTGCTTCGCGAACTTCATGAATTATTACTCGCGCCACATCACCGTATTTTGTATTGCATTCGTCTTTTACTTCTGGTTCTAGGTCCTCGTCAACTTCACCTGGTCCCACCATATTTCTCAAGAGCACCACCTTTTCAAAAAAAAAAAATAAATAAATAAAAGAATTAATTAATTTCAATGGTATATTTTAAAAAATGATTCTAATTTTTAAAGGTTTTAACGAGGAAAGTATTCAATATTACATATAATAATAATCAATATTGTCAGAATTTTATTTTTAGAAATTTGTCCTACTTAATTAAAATTGAGAAATTAATAAAATGGATTTAATATCTAATAACATTAGTTATTTAAAAGAAAAAAAAATAATTAACTAATTAAAGTATTCAAATAATAATATATATTCAATATATATATAATTATATTCAATAAAAATTTCAATATAATAAATGATAAATTTCAAAATTATTTTAATTTTAAAGATTTTAACGAAAAAGATATTCAATTAATAATATATTCAATATAATACAATAATTATTTTATGTATTTAATAACAAAAATTATATCCCCTTTTTATTTACAAAAAAGTTAATTTTTTTTTTAATGAATAAATTATTTATTTTAAATAAATAAAATAATTTGGAAGTTAAATAATTTTGAAATTTTTGTTTAGAAGTTAAAGGCTTTAACGAGAAAAGTATTCAAATAATAATATATTAAATATAATATAATAATTATATTCAGTAATAAAAAATGTATCCCTATCTTTTTTTTTTTACAAAAAAGTCAATTTTCTTTAATAAATAAATTATTTATTCACTAGCAAAATTAAACGCGCGCCAAATTGACTATTTAATTGTTTGTTAGAAAGAAATTAAAGATTAATATTATTAATAATAATTTAATTTATTAGAATATTATTACACATTAAATGATAATAATGAAAATTATATGTTTACAGGCCTCGGATTATATGACTTTTTCCGACTTTTTTCAAAAATACGACTTTTATCGATTTATTTTAATAAAATGCGACATTTTTTTTTTACATTTGAAAAGAAAATGTAAATAAAATACATTTTTTTAGTATAAAATTTATATCTTCTTCAGATCTTCTTCAATTCAATTATTTAACAAATTTTCAACTAAAATGATACTTCATTAAATTAATTATTTTTAATAATTTTAATGAAATACATCACAAATTTAATTATATCAAAATTATTTTTTCAATTAAAATTTTTATGAAATTTAACAATTGTTTATAATTTAAAAAAAAATATCACAATAAAATTGAATTATTTTTTAAAAATTTCAATTCAAAATAAACATTATTACCCGAAATTTTAATTCAAAATCAATTAAAAATCCAATAATTATCCAAAATTTTCAATTTAAAATTTAATTATTTACCAAGTTTTCAATTTAAAATGAAATAAAATTCAATTATTTTCTAAAATTTCTATTCAAAATTAATTATCCAAATTTTAAATCAAAAATGAACTTAAATTAAATTATTATCCAAAATTTCAAGTAAAATTCAATTATTTCCCAAAATTTTCAATTCAAAATAAACTGAAATTCAATTATTTTCCAAATTTAAAATCAAAATTGAATTTCATTATTCTCAAAAATTTGAATTCAAAATTAATTGAATTTTCAATAATTTGAATTTAAAAGCATCTAAAACTTAATTATTTCTAAAATTTTCCATGGAAATTTTTTTTTTTTGAATTTAATAATTTCAATTATAACTCTAAGGAAATTCAATTATTTTTAACTATTTTATTAATATTCTTTGAAAATTCAACTATCTGAAACCATTTTTCAATTAAAAATGATTTTCAAATTATTGTATTTTGTCCGGATTTTCTAATAAATTTTTAGTGAAATTATCTAAAATTTTAATTACAAAACACTTAAAGTTTCAATTAATTTCAACAATCTCAATTTTAAATCTTTGAAAATTCAATTAAATTTAAAAAATGTTTTCCAAAAATTGTTTGATAAATTATTTTTAGTTTTGTAAAATTTAATAATTGTTTTGAAAATTAACAATATCTTTTGAAATTTAATTATTTCTAAAAATTTCAACTTTAACCCTTCGAAAAGGATTATTATTAAAAAAAAAATTTTTTTACTTAAAAATCTGTAAAATATTTTTGTTAAAATAAAAAACAAATCCACCTTTTTTTTGGAATATAAATCAACTAAAACGACTTTTTTGTGTCTTTAAGTTGATTCGAGGCCTGTGTTTTTATAATTAATATTTTATAGGTATTCGTTGACCCCACCTTAAAAATTAATTTTTAAAAATAAATTTTTTTTCAAATTACTATCTTGTACGAAATTTCCTGGCGCATCTTTTTTCTCTTCATAAATTTTTTGTATTTGTATACAATTTTTGAATGAATATACAATTTTAAAAACAATTTCGTTGGTAAACGTTGTGCACGTGAATTGAATTTTCGAATTTGGAATTTTAAAGAAACTTATTCCGAAATTTGGAAACACAATTATACAACTTTGGCAAAAATGAGAAAAAGAATTGTTAAAATTTGACACGTCATAAGATTACTATTAAAAAAAAAACACGTGATATCAGAAAAGGCCAACTTCAAGTTAGGACAGAAGGACAGACCGAGCATTTTATTATTATATAATTTATTCTAAAAAAAAAAAATTAATACAAAAATAACATTAAAAAAATAAATAAATTTAGAATAAATTATTTATTTTAAATAAAATAATTTATAAAATTATAAATAATTTATAAATAATTTTGAAATTTATTATTTAGTATTGAGAAAAATGTTGCATTAATTACCTTGCTTGGTGATTTCATTATTTCCGTAATACTTGGCTCCTCAGGTGGTGGCATTTGTTGTTGTTGTTGTTGCATTGGAGGTGGTGAAATTGGAACTGGTGGCGGAGGTGGCATTAATTGTTCACGTTCACTGACAATTCTACCGCCTCGTTTACTTGTTTTTTCAACTTGTAACGCAACTGACATTCCCTGTTCTTTTTTACCAAGACCCTGACCCTCTTTAAAACCATATTTTGCCATTATTTTCGCTGCAATTGAACTTGAATTAATACCAAGATTATTGTTTTGTTTTGAAAATAATGGCGGAGCATCAGTGTGCTCTTGTAACGATGGAGGAGGCGCAATTGCAGCACCGCCCTGCATTGCTCTCGATGTTGGCGTTCTCTCCTCATCTCTCTCGGGAGGAATCATTGTATTTCCCACTGGAAGCTGTTGCTTTAATAAAAAAAATTTATGATTTTTTTTTTTGTAATTTAATGATGAAATAGATTTTTTTAAAAAAATTTAATGAAGAAATTAGAAATAGATTTTTTTTTTAAATTTAATGAAGAAATAGATTTGTTTTTTATTTAATGAAGAAATAAGAAATAGATTTTTCAGAATCGTAGTTAGGGGAAATTTATTTATTATAGTTCGAAGAAATTTTAAGAAAATTTTCTAAAATAGTGAAATAAAATTTTGGTTTTCAAAAAAATAGAGGAAAAAAAAAAAGATTAAAAATTGCAACAAACCTGAACATCCTCAAATCGTGTACTATCTCGTCTACGTTTTCGTAATTCACTCTCCTGATCATGTTCCCTGTCTCTAATGTCACGTAATTCTTTAACAACTTTTTCATATTCATTAGGCCACATGGGATCATATTCATTAACAACATTCCAATCAAATTCACTCGCAATACCAATATTATTACCGCCTCCACTAACAAGAGGACTCGATATTACTTGTTCATCATCGCGTTCTGTTTCTCTTGATTTTGATTTTAAATCAATAACAGGCGCTAATACTGCACTTGCTTTTCTATATTGTTCTCTTTTTGGCTACGAAATTATACACATCAATAATCATCAAAATAATGAAAATGAAAAAAAATTGCCGACCAAAAAAAAAAACGGCAATATTCTTTTGTTTATATTATTGATCAAATTTTTGAGGTTAGAATTCTCTTTTTTTTTACATATTTTTCTTACCTGTGTTGTCGCCGCTTTTTTTAATTGTAATTGCGATTGTAGTAATTTTATACCCGATGACCAGCCGGCTACTTTTTCTGATGCACGATGTTTATCAAAATCGTCGTACAGTGACATTTTATTTTCACTATAAATGAATTATTTTTGTTAAACACGAAGTGTCATTTTCTGTTTGACGGCCATTGTGAATTAAGGCGCATTCACACGTCGATTTTTTGCGCTGGAAATTTCAAAATCCGCCTTGAAATTCCGGGGGAAATTTGAAATCAGCCAATGAGAGCGATCGAAAGTCCCAAACGGAAAAAAGGCACGAAATTCAAAATTTTTGATTTAAATATAAATTATTTATAATTTAAAAAACAGAATTTAAAACTAATTGTAAGGGGAAAAAAAAACATTTCTCGTGAGTGATAAGACAAAAAAATTTATAAAAATGTGTTTTAATAAATACCAATAAAAATCTACAGAGATTACAAAGTTTGAATAAAAAATTACAAGCCCTGTTTCATATGCGAATTATTGTATATTATTTTTCCAGGACTATTGGTTCGTTTTTCTTTATTTCCTTTAATAATATTATTACTAGAATGAATTCTTAAATAATGTATAATACTTTGCATCGATAATAATAGAAAAATATTGTCACTTTTTCATTTTTTTTTATTTTCGCTTAGAAGATAAATGTTCTTTTTCTAAGCTACAAATTAGCAAAAAAAATCAGACAAAATCCCAACCAGAAGCTCACTTTCTCTTCGTTACAATCAAAAAGTAAAATTTGATGTTCCCTTTTGAACGAATTCCTTCACAAGATAATATTTTCTACAATTGAGGTACTTTTTTTTTCCTTCTTCCCTTTTTTTCATACACAAAAATGCATATCACAAATACTACTAAATTACTAAATGCCTGAGATCTTTTTCTTTTATTAAAAAAAAAAAAAAAAAAAACATTTTAATATTGTACGCAAATTTTTTAAACCACAAAAAATATTGCTATTAAATTCGAAAAAATTTCGATCAAAAAATGGAATCCGCCCATTCGAGATGACATCTTTTGAAATCTCGATGCAAGGAAGACTAAAAAATATATAATTACAATCTTATTATTCTATACGTATACGTTTGTTTTTATTTTTTGTTAACTGCTCGGTAAAAAAAAACTTTCAAATGCTACGCTAGAAGAGTGAAAAAAAAAAAAAACAAAATTCTATACAAGTGAAAATGTTAATCACTTTTTTCAAAAAAAAAGTTTTCATAGAAAACGTGACAATTTGAAAGCCCGAGCGGTTTTATATTGTCAGACATGTATACAACAAGTTTATTTATTTTTTTTTTTAAGATTAATTTATATAAATAATTATCATAGGCCTTTGGATTTTGATAAAGACTCAAGACGAAAAAAAAGTCTATATCATTTCCTCTTTTTTTTTTTTTTTTTACAGTCGTATTTCGATGGATTCAAAGTGAAAACATTTTGTTTCGAGACATTTTGAATTATTTTTGCGTTCATGCTTGAGTTTAGGAGCTAAATTTTAATTAATTAAAAATGAAATTAAAATTAAATTTTAAATTTAAATTTAATTGACTATATTCGAATATTTTTTTGCAACTTTGCTGATGTTTCTAATTTTTTTTCTTTTACTAAAAAGCGAAAACTGTAACTGTACTTTCGAAACTGTAAATGTTAGAATTTAAAATTTTCCAATTCTAAACACTTTGTTGTTTGAAGATAAAAAAATAATTAAAAATACAAAAAAAAAAAAACATTACCAACATTTTATGGAATTTTATGAAAAAAAGTTATTAAAATTCCGTTCAAATTAAAATGCCATAAAAACAATGTGTTTTCACATAAATCGCATATCGATTTGATAAATAAAAATATAAATAAAAACAAATAGTCTTTATGGACGACAGAACATTCTCTCTAAAAATTATTTCAAATAATAAAAGAAAAATACAATTTAAACATAAATTGAACATAAATTAAGACATCGAATTATGTTCAATTTATAATTCTTTAAATTTAAATTCAAAATAAAATTCCGTTTTTGCAAATTCTCTTTGCAATTTTCTTTTTTCTAATTATTATGTTGATTTATCTTTATTTCAATCATGAAAAGAATTAGTGAAGTTTTTTTTTTGCAAATTTATTTAATTTCAAAAAAAAAATTGCAAAATTTGTCTCATCACTTTCTATGATTGAAACAAAATTAAAACAGCAAAAAAAAAAATGCTACCATTTACTTAACAAAAATTCTTTTATTACTCTAAAAACAAAATTAGAACGAATGTTTTGTCTATATCGTCACCTTTTTCTTTTTTTTTTTTTGTTTAGTGAAAAAATTTTGGCAGAACTAGACTAAAGCTTCCGCATGATAATGATGATAATGATGATGAATATGTTCGTGAACATGTTTTTGTCCACTTGCAGCGGCGGCCGCAGCGGCAGCAACAGAATTTTGTGAAAATTCTCTCTCCAACCAACGTACAACTTGTGCCATTGCTCGCGCTTGATCCTGTTCTCTAGTCGCATGTTTCAATTGATGTTTTTTACTTCCTTTACCCGTTAATGGCGTTTGTATATGTTGTATATCATTTTTTAAATTATTATTAACATGAGCAAAGACATTGTTCTTGTTAATTATTTGTTGTGCAACTTGGGCAACGTGACGTGTCGCTGCATTTTGTTGAAGAACTTGCGCTTGGATTTGCGAATGTACATTACTTTTGGGCGAATTGACTGGTGTATTTCGCGGTGCATTTGAACCCCGTGCTTTTCCACTATTCTTTTTTGATTTATTAACGGGGACTTTACTACTCGTGAAAACTGGCTCTCGATTTGGTTTGTGATAGTTTGATGAATGTCGATGATGCTGGTACCTTTGTTGTTGTTGTTGTTGTTGTTGTTGCGGTTGATGTGAATAGGGACTCGGCGGTTCGGCATAGGGACTTCGAATAGGTATTTGTTCATGGTGCTTCCTGATAAAAGATAATATTGACTTTGAAAAATTTTTCATTTTGTTTTTTGTTTAAAAAAAATATTATTTATTTGTGTTTGTTTTTTGAAAATTTACCTTGAATTATTAACACCAAGATTATTTTTTTCCATATTCGCTTGAATAATTTCGAACAGCTGTTGTCGTTGCATTGCTGCGCTTCGTTTTCGATGATTTGATACAAGGGGTGTCAATGGTGTGAGGGTTGGCGAAATATCACTGGCTTCACTTACATCGCCCTCGGAACTGTTTGAATAGGGCGAAATGAGATGGGGAACAGGCCCCACTCTTCTTCGGAGTTCTTCTTCCTTTGATGGATTTGTCGGAATATTCTCTGCGTCTTCGTCACTTGGATTTCGCGCCGGTTGCTGTTGTTGCTGCTGCTGTTGCTCAGACTGCAAAAGAAAAAAAAATAACAAAATAATTTGATTTTCTTTTTTTAAAAAAATAATTTTTCCAAATTCAGCTAAATGAAAATTCCATCAAAAATTTCCTTAAAATGCAAATTAAAATGCAAAAAATAATTATATCTAATAAAATGAAAATTCTAACGATTTTCATAATTCGGAAATTTCAGTCAACTTTTGCTCCGGAATTAATAAAAATTATTTCTGGAATAGTAAAATTTAATTCGGAAATATTTTTTATTTTATTTCCAGAAAAACAGAGTAATAATGAAAATAAAAAGAAAAAAAATTGAATTTACCTGAAAACGATGTCGTGGCGCTCGTCTTCTACGATGAGTTCGACGTGATGAAATTTGATTTGCATGACTGCATGGATCGACGTGTGTCACATGACAGCATGATGAATTTCGATTTTGACTTGATGTTGCAGTTTTTGGAGTGCCATGAGTTGCTGAACGTTGATCAGGTGAAACGGTGAGTTTTACTTTAATTTGTCCGCACGATGGTGCTTGAATTTTTGAACCAAGTGTATCATAAATTGCCTTCACAAGACCCGCAATATCGTCTTTCGATATTCGTCCATGACCATCGACTCCATAGAGAGTAAATGAAAATTCCTGCCTTCTACCACCGCCCTCAGCAACCGAGACATCACATTCAAATTCCTGTCAAGAAATTTTTACCCATAAAAATCTAAATTATAAATTCATTAAAATTTTGGCAAATATTAATAAAAAATTAATAAATTAATAAAAAAACATTAATTAAAAATCTATTTTTTACAAAAGAAATAATTGAAAAAAGAAAGGAAACGGAAAATTAACTCGCGGGCATTGATCACTGATAAAAGATTTTAATATACAAAAAAAAAAGTTTTTTTTTTTTTTGAATAATTATGAGCTCTTGGAAAAGATTTATAAAGTTGAATGAAAAAAAAAGGAAAAATTTGCCTCAAGGCAGTGATATTAAATCATAAATCAAGAATCGTTTTTTGTTGAACTCAGCGCATTTGAAATTGAAGGATATTTACCTCGAAGCTGAGCTGCCGAGTGGGATTTGAATTCGTTTGCTCTTCATTGGTAGCTGGAGGCGTTGGTGAAACGGGGGTGTTAACTGCAGGTGGTGGAGATTCAGATTGTCGTAGATGTGATGACGATGCTGATGGTGGAGGTGGTGGTGAACTATTGCATGGTATCGCATCATTTCGCAACAGTAATTCAGAATCACTTCCGTCTGCACTGCCGCCAACGACTGTAAAAAAAAAAGAAAACATCTTTTTTTAAAAAAAAATTAATAAGAACGAAAAATTAATATTTTTTCGAGAAAATTAAAAAAAAAAAAAATTCAGCTCTATTAAAAATTTATATAGGGTAAAAATTATAATTAAATTCTCGATTAAGTCGAGAGAAATCAGCCTCTGACGCGACGCGAGGTGGAGGTCTTTACAAATAAGGGAATCTTCTAATTAATTTATAAGCCATTGTTGTCTGAGGCATCGCAAGTATTTTATATACTGAAGATTGCAATGAATGTTCTTCAATTTTTACATTTATTTCTTATTTATAGAAAAATATTTTTCTACCTATCAATATAAATTAATATTATATATTAAATATAATATAAATTTGGAATAAAATTCCAAATTTCCCCCCCCCCCCAAAAAAAAATTGCACATATAAATTACAAACTGGGATTAAGAATAATCGCCCGGTACTTTTCAATGAGAGTTCGGTTAGTCTAAACAGATAAGTTCGTTATGTATATATAGTAAACATTCGAGCAAAATTGTCTGAGTTCATATACATGTATATAATGCTTCCAAGTCTCGCACTATCAGTATTTCGCTCACGTATAAAGCTTATTAGTGAATGAACATTCTCCAAACGTTGATTGCAAACGTGCCGACACCTCATTTTTTTTCTTTTTTTTTATTTCTATTGCGATACTATACGCGCTCACAAACTTATCTCTCGATAACAATTTTGATTGAAAATTATTTTACAATCGAGTTTCAAAAAAAAAAAAAAAAAAAATGTAACTTCCCTTATGACTAAAGGAAAATAAATCATCACGAATAATAAATAAAATAAATTTATAGCGAAAAAATTGGAAAAATTAGAAAATTCAATTTTTGTATTTAGTAAATGAAGAATTCAGCCAAATGAACATTCCGACAAAAAAATCTGCCAATTAGAAATTTTAATAAATGAAAATATTAATAAATAAAAATTCTCCTAAATTGTAAAAAATAAAAATCTTATTAAATTGAAATTTTTCCAAATATGATTTCCATTAGTGAAAAAATTACATTAAAATTGTAATTTAGTTAATGGAAAATTCAGCTAAATGAAAATTCCACCAAATGCAAAATTTTCATAATTATAAATGAAAATTCGTAAAATTCCTAATTCGTTCATCTCTAAATTCAGCGAGAAGAAAATATTTCCAATCGAAAATCGAAATTATTCTCTGAATTCGTAAAATTCCTAATTCGTTCATCTCTAAATTCAACGAGAAGAAAATATTTCCAATCGAAAATCGAAATTATTCTCTGAATTCGTAAAATTCCTAATTCGTTCATCTCGAAATTCAGCGAGAAGAAAATATTCCCAATCGAAAATCGAAATTATTCTCTGATAAGAATAATAAAAAAAGCAAAATTTTCAAAGCAGAAAAAGAAAATAAATCTCAAGTATTTTAGAAATGAAAATTGAAAATTTTTGTTATCTGCGGAAAATTTGGTGATTTCAAAGAAAAGAAAAAAAAATAAAAAGGAATTCCTTTGGCGAGACCGCCACCTCATCTTTTTTGAGAGTCTACAATATTCAGAATTTGAGTCATTAAAAATCTGTAAATGAGGAATTCTGACTTTTTGGCCCAAGGTAGAAAAAAAGAAGAAAAAGGTAATTTGTAAGGAAAATCTCGAGCAGTTTAAGTCACAAACAGCATCTTTCTCTCTCTCTCTCTCGAGATTCTAGAGGAGAAGAAGAAGAAGAAGTTGCAGTTGGTTATAGGGTGCGAGTAGGTTGGAGGTTCGGTAAGACAGTGAGGTGAAGGAGAAAGAGAGAGAGAGAAAAAAAAGAGAGAAAAAAGAAAGAGCAAGACAGGGGAATATAGAGGAAGGAGGTGGAATGGAATGAGAAGGAAAGGGGAGCCGTTCTGTCGGGTCTCTCTTCCTGGAAACCAACAATAATAGCGGTCCAGAGGAGAAGAGTGCCGCCTTCGACCGCCAACTGCCTCTCTCGCTACTCTTGCTTCTAGGAATATACCTAGATCTCATGTCTTACAATCCTCGAGAGACTCTCTCGCTGAATCAGAAAAATAGAAATGCATTCGCACAGAGACGATTGTCTATAATTCTCCAGAGTCTATTGCTCTCTCTCTCTCTTTTTTTTCTCTCTCTCTCTCTCTATAAAATACTGTTTTAAGAATGAAGAATCACAAACTTATCGAGAACGGTACTAGAGAGCAAAAGAGAAAGATCCAGAAAGAGAGATGAAGAATCAGAGAGGATGCAATGCACCCTGGTGGCTGCTGGTCATCCCGAGTGCGATTGAGACTACCGAGATTTTTATGCCTCGCCCTAAATTTAGATTTAAGTCCACGATGAGACGCGGGCTACTGCTTTTATGAGCACCGGCTGTTTGCTTCCTTTTTCTCTCCTTCTTCTTCATCACATATTTTTCTTTATGGAAATCTAGCCACGCGACCTATTAAAAATAATAATTATTAATTTTCAAAATTGATAAAAAAAAATAAGTGGGTCAATTAAAAATTGTATTCAATTTTTTTTTTTTTCAAATAAATTTGCTTTAATTTAAATCAATGAAGCGTCTTTCCATCAATGGAACAAAACTGAATTTAGTGCGGAGTAGAAGAAGCCAGGAGAATGTTAAATGAAAAAAAAAAAAAAAAAAAAAAACTGCCGACGACGTAAGGCCTTTCGACTCTGGTTTGTATACAAATAAGGATACCTGCTCAGGCAATGGCTTCGCCTATAATGTGGCAATGATAATTACTGAACAACCTACCATATCTGGACCTGTCGTAAAAGATCTAACCAACCTTAATTAACTTTAATATTACTAAATTTGTTTAATTAAAAAAAAAGACAAAATATTATTTACCCGTGGATTATCAAAAAAAAAAAAATACAAACCAAATTTTTACAATAAAATGGTTAGAGAAAATACTTTTTTCGATTTTAACAAAAATTTAGAGAAGTCTTTTTCAAAAATTTTTCGAAAAAAAAATTTCTCAAATAGATATTTTTCCTCTATTATTAATAAATACTAAAAATAAATTTATAATTTGTAAAATAGATATTTTTCTTCTATTAGTTAAATGAAAAAACAAATTGAGAAATTCTACATTTTTTGAAAAAAAAAAACGAGAAAAATGCAATGAAAAATTCTCACTAAAGAAAAAAAAAAAAAAACGATGCGATGGAAATTAAGCAAAAATTGAAGAAATAATACATAATTCAGAAACCATTTTTCTCCTATTTTACATAACAATAGAGTCTAGAATCTTGACTTGCAAATATCTTGAGAAGCAACAGTTTTGCGCCACAAATATAAAATTGGAATATTTTTAAATAACCACCATATACAAATGTAAATTCTCTCTTATAAATTGAAAAAAGAATTTCTTAAGAAGAGAGAGAGAGAGAGAGAGAGAGAGAGAGAGAGAGAGAGAGAGAGAGAGAGAGAGAGAAAAAAATTATCAAATATTCGAAATTAAAATTATAAAAAAATGTGACAATTGAATAATTTACAAAATCGAAGTTTGAAAAATTCAATTAATAAAAATACGAAAAATCAAAATGTTTAAAAATTCAATATTCCAAAGTACCAAATAATTCAAGAAACCAAATTTTTTAAAATCTAATTTTCAAAACTACCAAATAATTCAGGAAACCAAAAATGGTCAAAACTATAATAATTCAGAAACTTGAAATAATTCAAGAAAGGAAAATTTTGAAAATCCAAATCTCCAAATGAAAAAATAATTCAAAAAACCAAAAATATAATAACCTAGAAACTTGAAATAATTCAGGAAAGCAAAATTTTTAAAATCCAATTCTCCAAAGTACCAAATAATTTAAAAAAAAACCAAAAATATAATAATCTAGAAACTTGAAATAATTCAGGAAACCAAAATTTTTAAACTCCAATTCTCCAAAGTTCCAAATAATTCAGGAAATCAAATTTTTTAAAATACAATTCTCCAAACTACCAAATAATTAAGGAAACCAAATTTTTTTAAATACAATTCTCCAAAGTACCAAATAATTCAGGAAACCACATTTTTTTAAATCCAATTCTCCAAAATACTAAATAATTTAGGAAATCAAAAATAAAATAATCCAGAAACTTCAATTACAGAAACCAACATTTTTTAAATTTAATTTTCCAAAGTACCAAATAATTATTCATGAAACCAAAAATTGCCAAAAATATAATAATTCAGAAACTTGAAATAATTCAAGAAAGGAAAATTTTTAAAATTAAATTCTCCAAAGTACCAAATAATTTAAAAAAAAAACCAAAAATATAATAATCTAGAAACTTGAAATAATTCAGGAAAGCAAAAATTTTAAAATACATTTCTTCAAAGTTCCAAATAATTCAGGAAACCAAATTTTTTAAAATCCAATTCTCCAAAGTTCCAAATAATTCAGGAAATCAAATTTTTTAAAATACAATTCTCCAAAGTACCAAATAATTCAGGAAACCAAATTTTTTAAAATCAAATTTTCCAAATTATGAAAATAATTAAAAAAATCAAAATTATAATCAATACAGAAACGAAAATAAAAATTCTATTCAACCAAAATTTAAATAATGAAAATAAACACATGAAATCGGCACAAAAAATTCCAATCGCTTCTAATCTAATTTTGAAAAATTCAAATTAAAATAAGAAAAAGAACAAAAAAATAAAACAAAAAGAAAACCCCCACTAAGAAATGGTAAGTCGAGCTCATTTTCTCAGTAAAATCCATGTAATTAACAGCAAAACGAACATGTATATATATATATATATATATATAGAAGACCGTCATTTTTCATTTCTGACAAGGAATTGGATTCGAGCCGATGTGAAAGATTGTTAGAAGAAATTCTCCCGGCGTGAAGCTTTTTCTCGGTACCTTTATTTTTTTCCTCTCTCTCTCTCTCTCTTCTTGAAAAAAAAAAAAAAAAAAATGTTTCGGCATCCCTTTGGAGTTTACCGTCATTCGGCCGTTG